TCTCCAAGTTGTTCGATATTAATATTGGACTTGTTTCACTGGATCAAGAAAAGGCTTTTGATAGGGTTGAACATCCTTATTTGTGGAGAACTTTAGAAGCTTTTGGAATTTGTCAGGATTTTATTGATAAAGTGAAAGTACTTTATGGTGACGTTGAAAGTGTACTGAAAATAAACAGTGGCTTATGCACTCCTTTTAAGGTTTGTAGGGGTATAAGACAAGGTTGCTCATTGTCTGGAATGTTATATTCACTTGCTATAGAACCCTTGTTGCAACAACTAAGAGAAAAAGTTTGTGGTTTGAATTTACCTGTTTGTAAAAACAATATCATTTTGTCTGCTTATGCTGATGATGTGGTGGTTTTAATTGATGGACAAAATGATGTACATGTGTTAATGGAAGTTCTAGAGGATTTTAAAGTTTTATCATCAGCAAAAAATTAATTGGAACAAGAGTGAGGTGCTTTTAATTGGAAATTGGTTAAAAAAGAAACCAAAATTGCCTGATGGCCTGAACTGGGGAACAGGTGGGTTTAAGTATTTGGGAGTGTACTTAGGAGACGAAGCATTCTTTCAGAAAAATTGGGAAGGGGTTGTTGATAAGGTAAAAGGAAAATTTGAAAAATGGAAATGGCTAATACCAAAGATGTCATATAAAGGGAGAGTATTGATTGTGAATAATTTAGTAGCCTCCAGTCTTTGGCATAAGCTGGCCTGTTTGGATCCTCCTTCACAACTTCTAGTAGAAATTCAGGGTATTATGGTCAACTTTTTCTGGGACAACTTGCATTGGGTCCAACAGGGTGTGTTGTATTTACCTAAGGAGGAAGGTGGCCATGGTTTGGTACAATTGAAAAGTAGAATAGCAGCATTTCGTTTGCAATTCTTACAAAGATTTCTGTATGGGTCGTTAGAAAATGGATGGCGGGCTGTTACATGCTCCATCTTACACAGCGTTATAGGAGTGGGGTTGGATAAATCTTTGTTTTTAATGGATCCTCCCAAATTGAATGTGAGCAAATTGCCAGTGTTTTATGGAAACCTTTTTAAGGTTTGGAATCTTTTCGATTTACAGAGGAATGAGATGACACCTTCTATCCACTGGCTTTTGGAGGAGCCTTTAATAAATGGAGCTCGTTTTGATTTAACGAAGGACAATTCATCCTTTCATGGACTTAATGCGCTATTGTTGAATTCACAAATCTTTACTTTGGGACTTTTGATTCGCATTGCCGGGGTGGACTTTAAAAATACAGAAGAAGTGGCTTCCTGTTTAAAGATCAAGTCTATGCGGACTGTTGAACGGATGCTAATGAGTTGGAAGTCACTGGTCAATGATGAAGAAAAAAGACTGTTATTGGACACTAATGGAATAATAAATGCTCCCATTTTACAAGACTGTTTCCCTCTTTTTACTTTGTTACACAAATTAGAGGGTTGTAAGGGACCCTTTCTGGATGGTGAAAATTTTTTGTGTTTGGACTTTTTGACAGCAACTGGTAAGGCTTTTTATAAGATATGTGTTAAAGTTTTCAATAAAAAGGTTTTGAATGGAAAAGTTGACACACCTTGGCGTAAAATATTGGGTATAGAAGAGAGTGTGAAACCTGAATGGAGGTCATTGTATAAGCCACCGTTACCCAAAAGGTCAGGGGATATACAGTGGAGACTTCTTCATGGTGCCATTGCAGTTAATGCTTTTATTTCTGTTATTAATCATGAAGTTTTGTCTGATTGTCCTTTTTGTTCAAAAAGAGAAACTGTTTCATGCTTTCATGGAATGTGACGGATTGAAACGTTATTCTTATTTTTGGAAAAATTTTCACTTCCTTTAATGAATTGTTTTTCATGAAAATTGTTGTTTTGGGTTTTAAATTTGTTAGAGGTAATAGGTTTACATGTCAGCTTTTGAATTTTGTTTTAGGGCAGGCTAAATTAGCTATTTATATGAACAGGAAAAACAAGGTTGAAAGATTGGTGAAGATGTGGTGGTTGTGTTTTTAAATTTGGTGAAATCACGAATGTTGGTTGATTTTTGTTTTTATAAGTCTACGAAGGATTTAGAAACTTTTGAAAAGAAATGGTGTGGTAATGGAGCTTTATGCTTAGTTATTGAAGAAGAGTTGTTTTTTACACCTTTGATGTAATTTATTTTAATGTTTTTTATTTTTGGTGTTTTTGTGACATGATGTAACGTTTAGAATTGTTGTAGCAAGTATACTAACAAAACGTGATTTATTGTAATAAAAGGTGTTTCAAATTCAAAAAAATCTCTCTCTCTCACACATACACTCACACACACTCTCTCTCTCTCTCTCTCTCTCACATACACTCACACACACACTCTCTAACACTCACTCTCTCTCTCTCTCTCTCTCTCGTATTTGGTCAAAGAACTTGGATTTGCTGAAGGAGTGTAGTGATTATTTGTAACATAAATATGGTACAAATTAGTGTGCAATAATTTTTTTTCAGTTATAAAAACACAAATCCCACATTTTAGTATTAGATAGACTACCATTCAAAAGTTTGGGGTTGGTAAGATTTTTTTAAATGTTTTTTAAACAGAAATTCAATATATTTTAAAAATGTGCAATTGTTCAATTGTTCAATTCAGTAGATTTTCAAAATGATAAAAATGATTTTAATTATTGGTTAATGCTATTTGCCATCACAGGATCTACCTTAAAAAATAAAAAAAACTAATTTATGGAAAGTGCTTGATTCATTGCACCATTCTTCATTTAGCAGACAGTGTTTTATTCAGAGTGACTTTTCTACTGCAGTGCCAGTCCACCTGGAGCAACCTCGGGGCTAAATGACTTGCTGTAGGGCACAGTGTTCTTTGTCTATATGCATTTGCAAAATTGGTGACATCTTGAATCTACATTATTCTCCAGGTTCCCCCTGTTCACGGCTGTTTATCAGATCTGTTTCGAGGGCAAGCCAGTTCAGGACATGATCACCTGCCTGCAGAGCCATCCAGAGCACCTGTGAGAGTCCCACATTGTCCCTCTTCTCCACCATCATCCCCTATGGTCTGTTAGGTTGTCCTACCTCTAACATTTCTCATTTTCTGTTTACTTTATATACTTATACAATGTTATTTTTTAAGCTGCTTTTTTTGTCCCAGGTCCAGTTCTACACTAATGGCTAGGCTTGAACTCAGGGGTTTGTTTCTGACCTTGCAGGTTTTGTTGTTATCAAACATGACAATGAACTCAAAGAGATTTTTCAGAAACTATGAAAAGTTGGAGTTTTTAACTATTTTCTCTCTGTCTGACTGCCCTCTTGTGGATGGTCCACAATATCACCTCACTGACAGATGAGATGAAATGACTCTTTATAAATTACTATAGAGATCTCTTCATAGAGGCTCACTACACGTCCATATTGAGAGCAACACGACAAGACTAGAATGCCTCTGTTACAGTCTTTAATATCCTGTAGAACCAGCATGATACCAGTTTTTTGATACTTTCACATATTGTTCGACACAGGCATAAGATAGGTTTAAAACTAAGTATGCAATTCAAATTGCTTAGTTTCTTATTAATAAATAATGAAACTGCCATTTACACTGAACATTTTGGCACATGTTAGATGAAGTAAAACTAGATTTCTGTGAAGATGCCTTTTAACTCCTCACAGGTCAATGAATACTTGAATGGACTCGCTATGGGTTTGAGGTTGTTTTTGTTTTGAGGGGAGATTTTGTTTTGTTTTAAAGGACAATATATTCTATAAAGGGGGCTTAAATCTGTCATCTCAATTTCCCAGCAACCCCCTTTTAAGACTAAGTGCTTACAAAACTTGTTATAGAACGACATAGTTGACTATACGTTTTATCACGTTACATTAAAAACAATACAATGCTACATATCTAAGCTTCAACAATGCATTGAAATCCTCTTAGAAACCCCCAATTATTGATGCCCTATGTAGTAACTGTTTTAGCATCCTGAAAAGCTGATAAACTACATCTACAGTTCCTGTTTTAATAATTCACATTTCTATGAAGATTGGCATTAAAATACTAATGTAATCTTTAGTTGTACTAAGCAAAGAATGAAGGAATGATTTAGTAAGATCTGTAGTGTTCACATGAGGGAGAGTGTTACGGGAGCAGCTAGTGTTTGGATCCATAATGGCCTTCTTTTTTAGCACTATACTGTGCTTATAGATGTGACATTATTCCTGTGTTGTTTCTATTCTTTTCAGTGTTTATGTACGAGTTAAATTCATACTACAAGTATTCACAGCTGTGGAAATGTTGCCGTGTACTGAGTCTAACACTCCAGTGGATTAACTATATATGTATCCATGTTGATGAACCCGTCCTGTTTTTTCTCCTCTGAGAATGTGATAATTTTTGCAAGTTGTATGTTCTAACAAGTGTTATCAAGGCTGAACGTTGAAACATATGCTGCTTTTGAAAATAACCAATAAAATAATCTCTGTGCTAAATGTTTGTTCCATTAAGTATTTATATTGGATTAAATATGAAGCAACATTGTAACGGCAACATTTTAAGATCTTAATGTAGCATAAGATAGTCCCATGTTAGGTGTAGCGCACAAGTAATGCAGATGAACTGAAAACTCCATTAAAACAGTGGTTCTTGAGACTTATGGGATGACAGAATAAATTGTGGTCAGTTAATGTACCTATAGCACCACTCCCAGTTTCTAATAAATATAAATATATATATATATACTATAATATATATATTATATACAGTTCTGTTATTATATAGGGTCCTTCAAATATATTTTGGATAGTGGGGCAGCTTTTAAATCAAAAAGGTTGAGAACTACAACATATAAAGGAAGTTATATGTTCATATCAATGTATTTCTACGTGCCAATTAATGTTGGTTGTATTTAGTCCTTCCTTCTTAAAGTGTAATTTTACTCAACCTGATAATGCTGATAAAGTACCCTACTTAGATTTTTAATGACATTCCTTCCTGAATAAAAACACATGATTTATATTCAAAACACTTTTTCAGAATTGATCAGTTGCAGCACAAGATAAATGATGGTTACAAACATTTTATTCCAGAATGCAAGTTGTTTACTTTCCTCAAAATGTGACACAATGTATAATAAAATACAACTCCAAAAGTCCCAGAATCGGGGAATTTTAGTGTCAAAACCTAAAACAACAATAAAAAAGGGAAACTGCACAGCTCCTTTATAGAAGCCATATATGAACATCCTGTTTGAAATCTCCCAACAGGACAGTTTCATTTCTATGAAACACTTAAGAACCTCTTTGAAATAAACTTCTATGTTCCGTATTCTATCATATTTGCATTTCTGACTGACCCAGGTGTTTTTGTTTCTCTTGTTGTCCATACATTTATCATCAGTCTTTAAAAAGTGTCATTAATGACAATTATGATATTGCAAAAGACGTCTCATATTGTTACTTCTTACCTGCTATTAGCAATGCTCCAGAGGCTCATAATGACTCATGTGTTTTACAAAATAATATCATAAATAAACTGCATGAGTTTGACCATTCTCACAAACATCTATTTTACACACACAAATATATTTTTAAAACAGCAGATTGGTCTTTGCAAGAACCAGTCCGAGAGACAACTTGACTCAAAGAGATGCTTGTCTCCCTGCCAAACTAGTCTTCCTCATCATCATCATCATCACCAAAAGACAGCAGGCTGTTGTTCTTCACCTTCACACCAGCTTTTGACTCTTTCTTCTCACCATCCTCACTTCTCTTCTTCTTGCTAGAGCTGGCAGTAATGCCTTCGAATTTATCAGAGGAGCGTTTGACAGGCTTCTTAAAGACGATCTTTCCATCCGGTGGAGGCTGTTCATCTGGAGAAAAAGAAAGCATTTACTTTAAAGAAGTCTGATATATTCAGAAGTCAAATATTATATATTATACATAATTATAATATAGAAATAGGGATATAAAACACTAGTTCAAACTGTCAGCGTAGTCTATACTACACAATAAGAACATACTCTTATTTCATAAATGTTAAGAACAGCCACGTAGCAATTTAAATACAAAAAGATCAGAAAGCTTGCATAATTTTCACTGCTACACAGGTACTGTACCAAGCAAGCCCCTCATCAACCACATTCAATCTGAGCAAGTCACCAACTCGGAAAGGATCGTGGAGGACCAAAATAATTTAAGTAAATTAATTAAATGAATATTTAATATACTTCATTACATATTGTATAAATAAAGATTAAGTAAATACATGTTTAGTTTAAATACCTAAATATTTTGTCATTAAAAATGAAAACTTTTATTATGAATAACATTTTAATGCGAATACTGTACCAATATTTATAATATATTCATGAACGTACTAATAATACATTATGAAATGTTTAAAATAATAAATATTGTGTTTTATTGATGGAATGTTAAATGTGCACCTTTATTATAATTTCCTCTATGTAATTTTATTGAGAAAATTACTGCATTTTGAGTATTTTGGTCCACCATCACATGTGGGTCGATAAGAATTTACTCAAAGAGCTCCGAAATGCATTAAAGGTTTGGTTTAATCACTATTTTTGTTATCCTTGTGAACAACGCATCTACTGTGCATTACCTTTGTTCGAGTCCTTTGTATCTCTTTTGATTTTTATAACGTCTTCGGCACTCAAATCTCCCTTTTTTAAAACCACGACCTGCGGCATCTCGTCCTCCCGATCACTGTCAGCACTGTCATCATCAAACTGCGGCGTCTGCTGCTTCTGCAACAGCAACATTTACTTACCATTCCATTTCCTACACTACAAATAAATGCGATAATTGTTGTGTCTGAAAACCGAGTGAGCTGCCTACACAGACAACATTTTGGAGACATGCATTCAGGTAGCACTATTTTTACGTTGGCATCTCATTTTTTGAGGCATGATCAATGAATGTAACTAAAAACACGTACTTTAGTCTCCACCGTAGGCCCTTCTTTAAAACCAACGTCATTCTTGAATTTCTTCAAAAAAGATGGTTCGGCTGACTTCACCCATGATACATTACCCTTGTTACTCATTGTGTTTCAGTTCAGATAGGCCTGATAAACCTTAAATGCGCTTAATGTTTCACAAACACTGAACACACAGGAACCAGGCGCGTATAGTTTGCGTTCATGCAACCTCATCAATACGCGTCCGTAAACGACCAATCAGCGCTTTCTGTGATTCTTATATTGGGAGCTAAATTTTACTTGCTGATAACCTTCCAGCGACATTACTCGTTTCAGAATAGAAATAGGCCACTACTTGTATACGTTAAAAGAAACAAGAAATAACAAAGCAAAAAAAAACTGTAAATTACTTTAAAGCCTTAAATCTATTCTTTGAATAATTTGTAATTATTTGTACTTGTTTACAGACGTGAGTTTTTTTTATTGCTTTTCTTATTTAGTTTTTATTTATTTATTTTAAGTATTTGTTTTCATTCAGTTTAAATGTTATTGCCCTTATATGTTCTTTGTTCTAAAAATTGCAATAAAATAAAAATATAAAACTTTCCAGCGACACATTACAATGTATTTCCTCAAGAGGCGCTTGGTGGCTCAGAAAGCCGAATTCTCAATTGAGCCATGTTCATATCACAGAGTGTTTTTTGCGTTATTAGAGACATTTGTACAGTAACACGTATCAAAATTAAATGTATCGATTTTAATGGTAATACAAATTTAAATAAAAATGGACAAAATGATTTTTAAATAAATATTATGCTGTAATCACAAATGACAGTGATTGGTCCATTATGAAAAGCGTTGAGAAAAGTAACACTTCTCACATCAAGCCTATAAATTCTATCCAGATAATAAATTTCACCTAAATAATTCCACCTCATCATTAAAAAGCAATTAAACTGAAAGTGCATGGAAATTATTTAAAATATGACATTCTTATTTAAACCTACAACGCAAAGTCCCGCCCATTTAATGATACCGTTTCACGCGGATGTTGCTCTACCTGTTTGATTTATTTCTGTGATGCACAGTAGGAAGTTTCATTATCATGTTATGTCTTCAAATGTAAAATATGGGGATAAAATAATACTGCTATCACAAGTGACTCAGTCGGACAGAGCTGGAATTATGTTGCCTGGCGTGTTTTATGCGTTAATGGCGGGGTTTCTAGCAGCTTTAGCGTCATCTTCTGCGAAGTTGTCCCTGGGTGCTGATTACCTGAAAGATGTGTGTGAAACAGGGCTGAAGATCTGGACAAATGGACAGGAAAACACTGATGGAGTTGATACCACAACTTGTGACTGGGTAAGAAGTGTTCTGTACAGTATATGCATACAGGTGCATCTCAATAAATTAGAATGTCGTGGAAAAGTTCATTTATTTCAGTAATTCAACTCAAATTGTGAAACTCGTGTATTAAATAAATTCAATGCACACAGACTGAAGTAGTTTAAGTCTTTGGTTCTTTTAATTGTGATGATTTTGGCTCACATTTAACAAAAACCCAGCAATTCACTATCTCAACAAATTAGAATACTTCATAAGACAGGACGCGTCCTGGGAAAATGGCACGTATGGTCACCCTAGTTTAAATGAACACAATGTCATTGTAATGTTGTCATTGATCACAGTTACATATACCCCTGCGGCTGCTTTGTGGTGGTCTTCTGTTCACCTGCAATGCTGTGATGTCGACCTTCTTCGCCAAAGCACTCAGGCACTCGTCTTCCTCTGCCCGGGCCACTGTGACCACCACTGCCTCAAATTTGATCTCCCTGTGTAGAATTATCTATGCTAAATGTATATATTTTTTCTGTCATAGGATTGTTTTATAAAACCTCTAGTTAATTTATTTTTATGCATCAATGTCAATAATGTGAGCAATTACATAATGCAAAGCCTTGAAATGTGTGTGACTTTGAGCCTATAGTCACGCAAAGGCCTTGCTCTATATCTTGCCTCAATCATGCAAGTTTCTGCATACTTTAGCCATCAAGGGAGTATCATGCAATTTTATAATAAATTCTCTTGTTTATTACTATGACATGAAATGTTTACGATATACATTTTTGCTGGATATTTGACCAAATGCAGCTGTGGATCTCAAAAAGAAATTGTTTCACCTCTTATCTTTCGCCGAGATAAACTTTTTCAATTCCATGTCTTCCAAAGTAAAACTTGAACTCGCACTTCATTCAGAAC